CGGTTTCCGGCACACCAAATTTATGAAAGATCTCTTCCGTGAGAAACATTACCACATCCGGCGGTGGGGTCGCGCATTTCCTTCAGAAAAATAAATTTCGAAAAATGATCTACAACAATAAAAATGTAACTGTTTCCGCGCTTTGACCTCGGATATTTACCAAAAAAATCCACTTATATTTTCTGGAAGGGGCGTACAGTAACTACTTGGTTTCCCATGCCAGGTTTTAAAATCGCGTTACTGGGCTTTCTTTCCTTGCACTTTTGACAATTGCGTACAAAGCTGCGGACCTGTTCCACCATATTTGGCCAGTAATACAACCACCGCAAGCGATGAAGTGTTTTGGCCATACCCCCGTGTGCGTTGATTTCTGGGCTGTGCGCGTTCTCTATAAGAGTAGAGGTTAGTGCTTCTGGTATCCATAGCTTCCATTCGGTCTCCTCGAGTTCTGCGTTCGCGGACAAAATCTTTTTGAACACTAAACCGTCTTCTACCTTTAAATCCGGCAGCCGCTCTGCGTTCGCTTCGATCGTCCTCACCAGCTCCTGATATTCTTTAGAATCGAGTTCTACAGTGTCCATGCCAGCGATTGGGGAACTTGCGATTTCGTCGATACATCGCGATAGCGTATCGGCAACTATGTTGTCCGCTCCTTTGCGGTGCTCAATGTCAAAATTAAACGCTTGCAGTTGTAGTGACCACCTGGCTAATCTACCATTCAAGTCTTTCAAAGACATCAGCCACTTCAGGCTAGCGTGGTCCGTTACCACCGTAAAAGGCATTAAATCCATATACGGCCGGTATTTCTTAACAGCCATCACAGCTGCGAGGCATTCTTTTTCCGTTGTGCTATACTTGCGCTGGCAGTCGTTCAGTTTTTGTGAAAAGTACGCAATTGGCTTCTCCACACCCTCATTTTCCTTTTGGTATAGAACAGCGCTCACACCATAATCAGACGCGTCACACTGAACCCAAAAGCGTTTAGAGAAATTTGGGTATTTAAGGACCGGTGCGCTCGTGAGCGCTCTCTTCAGGCTCTTAAACGCCTCCAAGGCTTGCGTGGTCATTTCGAATTTCTGGCCCTTCTTCAACGGATTGGTTAACGGCGCCGCCATCGCGGCGAAATCTTTAATAAAACGCCTGTACCACCCGGCAGTACCAAAAAAAATTCGTACTTGTTTAATAGATTTAGGGGCAGGAATGTTTTGTATGGCTTTAATCTTTTCAGGATCAGTCTTTAGCATGCCGCCACCTACAATGTAACCCAGGTAGGGTAACTCTTTGAAACAAAATTTTGATTTACTTAATCCTATTGTTAAATTTGCATTTTTCAAGCAGGTTGCAACTTCGCTTAGGTTCCGGAGGTGCGAGTCGAAGTCCGGCGCAATGATCAGTAAGTCATCCAAGTATATAAAAACGTTCGATTTGAGCTTTTGTGGGATCACACGGTCCATTAGTCGACACAACCTTTGCGCAGCATTGCATAATCCAAACGGCATTGTTACGAATTGATACAGTGGTCGTCCCGGCACTGTAAACGCCGTATATGGTTTGCAACTCTCCTCCAGCTCAATTTGCCAAAATGCGTATTTTAATTCGACGGTGCTTATGAAATGGGTGTCATCGATTCGGCTGAATATGCCCTCGATGTTTTGTAATGGATTCACGTCTTTTACAGTCACGGCATTTAGTTTACGCGCATCCAGGCAGAAGCGATTCTTTCCGGGTTTACGGACGATTGTCGTACGATTGCTCCACGGGCTTTCACTTTCTTCGATCACACCCAATTATAGCATCTTGTCGACTTCGGCATACACGATTGCTTGAATCGCCGGAGACAACTTTATGGAGTTCTTTTCCAACTGAGTACGTGCCAATCCGTGCTTTTCATACGTTTTAAACCCACTCTCCACCAGCTCCAAGCGTTCTTTTTGGTCTGCCGAAAGGATTTGCAACACGCGCCGCTCATTCCTGTCTTCTTCCGACACCATCTCTTGTTCTAACTTGGTCAAATCAATTTCATTCACGGATATCACTTCTGGGGCCAAACGGAAGGCGCGCCAGAAGTCCACCCCAAGGTAATTCTTTTGCTATAGGTATGGGCATAGAAAAAATGTAATGTTCTGTTCTAAGTTTTTGTATTTCACAAGGTATGGTGAGCTTGCCTAGCACATTGTGCGCACGACCGCCTGCAG